CAAAGTCAATGGCCCGACCCTCAGCGTCAAAAGCGAGGACACTAGGGGTAGCCATGACAGCAGTAGACTAGCAGTGCAAACAGTAGGGTGAGGGCAGTGCTGTGAGAGAGGCGCTGCTCTTACCGGACAGGGCGGCTCGGGCGGCTCGGCTGCAGGGCGGCTCGGCGACTCGACGGCTGGGCGGCTCGGCTGCTCGGCTGCTGGGCGGCTCGGCTGCTGGGCGGCTCGGCGGCTGGGCGGCTCGGCTGCTGGGCGGCTCGGCTGCTGGGCGTATCGGCGGCTGGGCGGCTCGGCTGCTGGGCGGCTCGGCTGCTGGGCGGCTCGGCGGCTGGGCGGCTCGGTTGCTGGGCGGCTCGGCGGCTCAGCGGCTGGGCTGCTCGGTTGCCGGGCGGCTCGGCGGCTGGGCTGCTCGTAGGAGTAGGCGTGGGGGCCGTAGGAGCAGGCGCCGGGGCCGTAGGAGCAGGGGTCGGGGCCGCTAGGGCGGCGGATCGGGGCCGCGAGGGCGGCGGATCGGGGCCGCGAGGGCGGCGGAGTAGGGGCCGCGAGGGCGGCGGAGTAGGGGCCGCGAGGGCGGCGGATCGGGGCCGCGAGGGCGGCGGATCGGGGCCGCGAGGGCGGCGGAGTAGGGGCCGCGAGGGCGGCGGATCGGGGCCGCGAAGGGCGGCAGATCGGGGCCGCGAGGGCGGCGGAGCGGGGCCGCGAGGGCGGCGGATCGGGGCCGCGAGGGCGGCGGATCGGGGCCGCGAGGGCGGCGGAGTAGGGGCCGCGAAGGGCGGCGGAGTAGGGGGGGGGGGGGGCCGCGAGGGCGGCGGATCGGGGCCGCGAAGGGAGGCGGCCGGCGCCGCGAGGGTGGGGCCGCGGGGTCGCTAGGGTAGGGCGACAGAGCCGCGAGGGCGGCTCGAAGGGGCCGCGAGGGCTGCGCGAAGGGGCCGCTAGGGCGGCGCGAGAGAGGGGAGCGCGACTCGGGCAGGGGCTGAGTGCGCTCCGGGCAGGAAAAAAAAAACGGTGGGCCCTAGGAACAGTTCCCACGAGGGAACCTGCTCGATACCATGATAAGAAACAAGGAATGAATGAACTATGAATGAATTGGGTACAAGTACTAACCCTAATTGGGTTGTACCCCTTATGGGTTACCCCACTATAGCCTACACAATATGCATGAGCTATAATATTCTGACATGAACATAGTCGATGGCATGTGGATCTTCAGGGTGAAGCGGCCGCCAGGTTCTCCCCCTGCCTTCACGGCGCGTTACGTTGCTCAAGGCCTCAATCAGCGACAGGGGGTTGACTACTTCCAGACCTTCTCCCCCACACCGAAGATGACTACTCTTCGGGTGTTGCTGCACGTCGCTGCTCAGCGTGACTACGAGTTGCAGTCTCTGGAATTCAGCACAGCTTTCTTGCAGGGCACCCAGTGGAGATCTGGCTGCGCCGCCCACCTGGCTTCACTGGGTCGTTTCCTGCAGGTACCCAGTGGAGCCTCCGGCGGCCAGTCTACGGTCTCCGCCAGGCGCCTCGTGAGTGGCACGACACACTGAGGCCTACACTTGCGGCTCTTGGTTTTGCTCCTTTTACTGCGGATCCGTCGCCGTTTCTACGCACCGACACGTCGCTGCTGCCGTTCTACGTCCTCGTGTACCTCGACGACCTCGTCTTCGCCACTGCTCACACTGAGGCACTGACCATTGTGAAGTCGGAGCTGTAGAAGAGACACACCTGCATTGACCTGGGTGAACTGCGCAGCTATCTTGGCTTGCAGATCACCCGAGACAGAGCACAACGCACCATCACACTGACCCAGTCACACATGGTGCACTCGGTCCTTCAGTGCTTCGGCTTCCAGTTCTGCTCGCCACAGCCCACTCCTCTGTCTACCGGCCACTCGCTCTCAGCTCCACCTTCGGACGAGTCCGTAGAGCCGAGTGGTCCGTACCCAGAGCTTGTGGGTTGCCTCATGTACCTGATGACGTGCACACGACCTGACCTCGCGTACCCTCTCAGCCTCCTGGCTCGCTACGTGGCTCTTGGTAGGCACCGAAAGGTGCACTGGGATGCTGCGAAGAGGGTACTGCGTTACCTGTGCAGTACGTCAGGCATGTGGCTCGTGCTTGGAGGACAGGGTCCAGTTGTCCTCACAAGTCACGCAGTCGCTTTCTGGGTTGACGACTCGGCTACTCAGAGGTCGTCACAAGGGTACACCTTCATCCTTGGTTCCGGCTCTGTTTCCTGGTGGTCTACCCGCTCGTCTTCGGTTCTGAGCTCCAGTTGTGAGGCTGAGATCTACGCAGGGGCCATGGCTGCACAGGAGCTACGCTGGCTCACTTACTTGCTGAATGACTTGGGAAAGCAGCCTCGTTCGCCTCCAGTTCTGTACGTAGACAACAAGGCCATGATTGCCTTGTGTCAGGAGCACAGACTGGAGCACAGAACGAAGCACATCGCTCCGCGATACTTCCTTGCTCGTGAGTTACAGCAGCGTGGCCAGCTTCGTCTTGCGTACGTGGCCACTAGGGCCAACACTGCTGATATATTCACCAAGGCACTTCCGCCTGGTGATCATCAGCGCTTCTCTACTGTGTTAGGCCTTGTGCCTACTTTACCTCACCTGCTGTCTGCTTGACTTTGCTTGTACTGCGATCTCTATATATACCTGCATGCTTACACTTGCTAGGGTATGATCACTGTATTGTTTGTTTCTCTTTATATAACTCTGCATGTAAACTGGCCTTGTGGCCCTTTGCTTGTGCTCGGACTGTGTGGTGACTTTGTGATCAACCCTGAGCTTGCTTTGCTTTGTTGACTGGTCTTGTGACCACTTGTTCTTCCCCACTTTGCCTATGGGGGTGTGTCAAATCTATATATAGCTTACATTGTGTAGGCTGTAGTGGGGTAGCCCATAAGGGGTACAACCCAATTAGGGTTAGTAATTGTATCCAACGTCTGCTCAATGCATTCATTCTCGTTCACTCATTTCAACATTCGCATCACTGTTTCATGGCGGGTTGTGAGTCCCGCGATGGAATAGGGCTTCCTACTGCTGCTTAAGGACGATGCTGCTGCTGCTCTAGCTATGGTTCCTGCCTTTGCTAAGGAGAGTGGTGCGTTTTCTTCTTACTGTTGTTGTTTGCCTCACTGTTCATGCTGCAGCAGATGATGAGTGTTCTAGTTCGGCAGCTGTTGCTTCTTCTGCTGACTTGAGTCCCACAGACGTTGATGGCAAAGAGGCAAGCACCTCCTTTTCTAGCAGCTTGGATGACATTGGGTGCAGCAGGAGCAGCAGCCCCACTAGACTCACCATCAATCCAAGTGCAGATCGCCCGGTGTCAATCAACGGTGGAGATTGCGTCACTGGTGGTGATGGGGAAAGAGTTGGATTATAGTGGAGGAAGCAAGTGAAGGTGGCAGTGAAGAGGGAGAGGGGAATGTGAAGCAGTCAAGTGCAGAAGGGGGAAATTTTGGGGAGCCAATAGCAAGAATTTCTTATGGCCCTTGGGGCTATATGGTTTGGGATGGGTGGGTTTAGAAGGGGGCACTTTAATAGGAGAAATGTCATAAGAGTATTAGGAGAATGTGAAAAACAGTCACATAATTGGGGCTGGGATAAGAGGGCTTGATTGGAGGCATCCAATCTGCTTGTTTTTTGCACGGGGTATGTGGCATGGTTATGCTATATAGTGCAGCATTACAAGAAGCCCATATTGTTTGGCAGATGTTCGGTAGTCTAGGACACCTGCTTCTGTAGTTACAGCAAAACCCGCAGCAAGTACAAAAGACTCTCTTCTGCATATTTATAGAACTTTATGAATTCTATGGTTTTTTATTTATATGAATACCCTTGGTCTTGCTATGAACTAAGGTACATAATGTATTTTCCTTGTGTAACCAGATAACTTCCGGCATAAAAGAGTTCGCCCAGTAGCGAGGTGACTGAGGTTCGGAATACCGTACCGAGGTCGTCCGTATTCATGCCTATTTTTATCACCCCCTCAAGGTATGCCACGTAAACTGTGTAGGGTCCAGAAAGGGGAAAGCTGGAAGAGATTGATACGCGAGACACGCACAATCCCTTTTGGACCACTCATGTCACGACGTGTACACTGAAAGGAGGAGGAGCAGTTCCATGAGAAGGATTGCTGTTTAGAATGTACCAAAATGTTCTAAACCACATTTAACTCAAACTGCTCGATACTGAATGAACAAATGTCGGGTTACGATGCTTGTCAATGGCTGACAGAGACAGCAGCAGCCCTCCCCCCGCCAACCACTCTCTCAGACATGGATCAGATTCACATATCTAACATTTTCACATTTCATTTCCCAATGTCTCGCAGCTACTAATTTTCCCTTGCAATTTTGCCAACGTTCATGAGCAACATCGCACGTGCCGTCCGGGCAGTGGTCTCCTCTAACTCCCTCCTCTGTGCCACTACCGCTGCGCGATTGTCACTCGCACGCAAACGGATGGCTGCGACATCTCTATCTGCCAGCGGAGTGGGTCTGTCCACAAGCGGACTATCACCTAGCGTCAGTCAGTGCAGATTGGCATCTTTCACTGATTCGGAGCTTGCAGGAGCGGCGCTTGCGCCGGCTGCACGCCGATACGTGCCGATTGCATGTGAGCAGCGGTGGAGCGAGCTTGACACACGAATTAATTGCAATTCTTTTCTCTGTTGGCATCTCTCTTTGTCTGCAATCCTATTCAACTTGTAAGGTCCTTATGTGAGCTGTCATGCATAATTAACATGTCGAAGAATTCGCTGCATAAGAAGTCTTACGAAACTATACCAGGAAAGCAAGACACAGACCAGACATTCAGAAGTTCATTTAGATCTTGCGTTGCATCATGAGCAATTTCGGCTTGGTAACAGCACACTATTATTTCACCACCCCAATGTCCAGCTACAGCGTCAGCAGCGATTTCCGCGTCCGCTGCCTTTCTCCAGTCGCCGCAGCCCGCCTTGCACCAGCGCGGGGGGGGACGCCGGATGTCGCGGCCCATGCTGTGTGCATTGAAGGCGTGGTGGGCCTCACCATTCCGGAACACGCCGTCCTGCCCTCGGTATAGTGCCACTGCCCTCGGTATAGTGTCGCGTCTGTCAATTCAATCCAACTGCTCTCACTCGTTTCTCCCCACCCCTCCAACCCCCTCTCCTCTGCACCGACACTTGTCCCCTTCCCTCTCTCCTCTTCCCCATCCATTTCCTCCTCTCTCTTCACAATTTATCCCGGCTGCCAACTACCTCACCACCCTCCCTGCGGCATGCCAGGTGTCTGTCTCCTTCGATCCCGCCTCGCCGCCACTCTCCATCCCCTCTGAACTGCTCCTCCTCGCTGTCTTTGACTCCACCCTTTCCCGCGACGACACGTCAGCAGCCAATTTCACCGACTTTGCTGCTGACGCGCCAGGCGGTGCTGAGCTGGCATCTCTTGATGCCACGCTGCCAGGCGCCCTCGCTGAGCTGGCATCCGACCCGGATTTTAGAGTGAAGCCCGGGCAAGTTTCGCAAATCCTCCACGTTCCCGGGCAGCCGTTTAAAATAATCGCGGATGTGCTCAGCGCGCGCATCTTAGAAAAGGACGAATGTGCCGCCCTGGGCATGGGGTCGTACCTGGCGGTGGCGAAGGACAACCCGCCCAAGTTCATCCACGTCACCTACACATCACCTGCTGCTGGGGATGGTGGCGAACGGGGCGAGGAGAAGCCGCTGAAGAATGTGGCTCTGATTGGCAAGGGGCTTACCTTCGACAGGTATGCATGGGTCATCTCATGCCTCCTCATTCCTCCTCATCCCCCCTCCTTGTTTCTTCCCTTCCCTCTTCCTTTCCCTTCCCTCTTTCCTTCCCTTCCCTCTTCCCTTCCCTTCCTTCTTCCCTTCCCTTGCCTCTTCCCTTCCCTTGCCTCTTCCCTTCCCTTGCCTCTTCCCTTCCCTTCCCTCTTCCCTTCCCTTCCCTCTTCCCTTTTCTTCCCTTCCCTCTTCTCCGCTTCTTCTCTGCCTCCCCATCTCAACCCACCAGTGGAGCCTACATCCTCAAGTCGGGCCCGGGCGCCATGAGTCACCTCGTGAAGTTTGACATTCTCTCATCCCTCCAATCATCTCCCTTGGCTCTTCCTTTCCCCCTTCCCCCCACCAGTGGTGGCTACAACCTCAAGGCGGGGCCGGGTTCAATTATTCACCTCATGAAGTTTGACATGGGCGACACTGCTGCTGCGCTGGGCACCGCCAAAGCCATCGCTGCCATCCAGCCGCCCGGGGTGGAGGTGATTGCTTTCCATACACGTGCTCTCGTAGACCTCCTAAAAACTGTAGACGGATGCACTATTTTTCAAGCCTGCTGCTGCCACATGGATGTCACGGCCATGGGCCATGGGATGCGTTGTCCTCTATAGGGGGTTGTGGGGGGAGAGGGTGGTCAATTCGTGTTGTTAGAGCATGAGGCTGTGAGATGCAAAGGGACGTGAAGGCAAGCGCGTGTTGTTGCGCTTGTTCCCTTGTTCCCACATTCCCCTTACTGTTTTGCATACCTGAAAGTCAGCGTTTTGAAGGCTTAATGTTATTCATGTGATGTCTGTTAGTGTGTTTGTTTCTTGCCTTGTGGATGGGTCCACCTCGCATGTGTGCTCCCAGGTGCATTTCATCATAGCGGCATGTAAGAACGTGGTCAGTGGGGGCGGCATGAAGCCGGGCAACATCATCACTGCCTCCAACGGCAAAACCATTGAGGGCAGAACAGTGAGGTGAGGCGAGAGCAGTGAGGTGCGGTGAGAGCAGTGAGATGTGGAAAAAAACTATTATCTGCTTTATCGCAAATGCTGCATGGGAAGTACAGCTGACGTTGGATTGAAGTAGCACAAACAAAACAATGTCTGCACTCTTTTGTGGTTCTCTTCCCTCCCCACCCTTCGCTGTGATGAATGGTGGTTGGGTGTTTTCGAACAGCTTCTGGCACTGCCTATAACACAACCCATCCCTTCCTCCTGTTCCCCATCCCTTTTCTTCTCTTCCCCGACTCTTCCTCCCCTTCTCCATCCCATTCTCCCGCTTCCCGTCCCTTCCTCCCCTTCCCCGCCCCTTCCTCCTCTTCCCCGCCCCCTCCTCCCCTTCCCCTATGCCTTCCCCCTCACAGGTGAACAATACGGACATGGAGGGGCGGCTGACGCAGGCGAATGCGCTGCTGTACGCCACCCTCACTGGCACTTGCATCATCGCCCTCGGGAATGACATCGCTGGTACGCGTTTCACATGCATTGCTGAGGTGACTTTTGTGTAGACTGAGATGTTGCCACTCTCACTGGCGCTTGTATCATTGCCCTCGGGAATGACATTGCTAGTACGCTCGTGGCATGATGGGTGGGCTGATATGTCAGTGGCATTGCTGGCAATATCAACCCTCGGTGCACCCTTGCTCATTGTCGGTAACATTGACATGAACGCATACTCATGTGCACCCTTTATCATTTAACCCCTCTTCTTCAACCTCCCATCTCCCTCTTCCTCCCTACCACCACGAGCAGGTCTGTTCACCCCGAGTGATGAGCTGTCAGCGGAGCTGGAGGCGTCCTCCAAGGCGAGTGGCGACAAGGTGTGGCGCATGCCCATGGAGGAGGCATACTAGGAGGGCATGCACAGCAAGCATGCCGACATGCTCAACACAGGCTATTGGAATAACCGAAAGGTTATTATAACATTCCCGAAGGTTCACTCCTAGCGCGCCACTTCACAACGAAGCAGCGCCACTGTACCAGTACCGCAATAGCTTATATAGAGCACGCGGCAGCTCGAGATTCACTCGAATGTCAACAGTCGAAGTTAGTCAACGGTCGTGACTGTTGACCGTCCAGTAACCGTACTCGGAGGTTACATGCTGCAACATGGTAATTGTCGAGTAGTGCAATAGTCGTGGTTAATGTAGCAATGCAATACAGGTAATAAGGGAATGTACCCCTCAGAGTACATGGCTAGCTAGGTTGCTATTTATATTCATGTACTATCTTATAATTATCTTGTTCTCTTTCAATCATTATTAACAAGGCCATTACAAGACTTCATTGTCTTCCTACAAATTAGCAATTCTTATCCTATCCACTGTGATTCCCGGTTATATCAACACAGGCAACCGTGAGGGCGGCTCCATCACTGCAGCGCTCTTCCTCAAGCAGGTGGGTGGAAGATGAGAGAGGGGGGAGTTGAGGAGAGAGAGGGGGGAAGACACCACATGCCTTGTTTCTCCACTTAGTTATGTTTTCACTCAGTCGCAGCATACGAGAGGGGAGAGGTTGTTTGTTATGTGCTTCTTTTCATGCCCTGCTGGCCACTCTTGGTAGTCAGTGTTGTAGTAGGCCCTCTCTTCTCCTAGTCGCTTTCTGGGCTAGCCTTGAAGCGACAAGATTTGTGTGTATTGCGATATGAAGTGAACTTACTCTCCTCCTGCCTCTTTTCTTGTCTCCTGCTCCTTTGTTTGCTCCCATCACTCCCCGGCACCAGTTTGTGGCGGAGGGGCTGCCATGGGCTCATGTGGACATTGCAGGGCCGGTGTGTAGTGAGAAGAAGGGCGGAGGCACTGGCTTCGGTGCCAGCCTGCTCTACCACTGGGTCGCCTCCCACTCCTCCTAGGAAACACAGTTGTTTGACTAGGCAGTCAGTTGGATGTGCAGTGGGCAGCACTCCCAAGCTGGAAAAGGGGAGAAAACACGAGTTGGATTCTGCTCCCTTCGACCCTCCCAACCAATGTAGATTTATCATTAGGTTTGGAAGCCGTTGTTGGATTCACTTACTACGCCATGGTGTTTCTTCTATGTTTTAGGGTTTAGTGTTATACCCTCCCTAGGGAAAATATTATAAGAATGCCCATCTTTTCAAAATTGGAAATTAAGTCCTGCTTGATAACAAATTGAAACTATAACTGAAGGAGTTGTAACAAGATTCCTTCTTCTGGGCAAATCGCGGTAGTCTTGCCACCTGTGCAAGCAAAGTTTTTGGTATAAAAAATGGACGCTCACACGCATCCCTCAACAACACGTGAAAGAATGTCGACAAATGTCAACCTTCGGATTTCTAAATCGGACAGCTGAAATGACTCGAACATCCCTCGATGTTTGTCGAGGGATGTCAACATCCACTTTGGACACACTCTCAGTCACGCACACAAGCTCGGCTCTTACACCCCGCTACGTTCGTGCCATCAGTCTAACATGTCAGTCAGAGAACACAAGCTCGGCTCTTACACTCTGCTTCATTCGTGCCATCGGGGTATGGCGTGATGTCGATTCCTTGGCAAAGCTTATTCGACGACTGATCCTCAGTTAGGGACAGACGCGGTCCGGCGCAGATGCGTGACAAACCGTACAGAAAGAACCCCTCCCGTAGGAATCGGGGCTCACGCGCGCCAGAGAGGCTGGTCAGACCCTCTCTGGTCAGTCACCGTCATTTTTATGCTTTTGTAGGATATAAAAGGTGGTATCTCCCTGCTATTTGAATCGAGCTAACCTCACTGTTGTTTGACCATTCTCATCGCAGCTCTCTAGACTTCCAGCACTCTCATAGTCGCTTTTCATCGAAAGCATGCCATGGCGTTGATCGAACGGCTGTCAGACGATATTCTTGCCACTATCCTTCATCTCGTTTGTCGACCCGACGGCCAGTTCCAGCATGCGTTTGTATGCAAGAAATGGTATCGCGTCGCCCATCTCGTGCACGACCAGATCCAGATTCACGAAAGGCGTTGCCTGCGTCCTCACGAGCTCGCGCACCTCTCGTCATTCCCAAGGCTCCGAAAGCTCGTCCTCGTCGTCGGAAGCTTCACGTCCGTCCCTGACTCCCTCCTCTTGTGAATAGCCGACTCGTGTCCATATCTGACGGACTCGATTCGATGGAGCGACAGTATAGACGCGGGGGGTTTACGGAGAGTGGACTTTCCAATCTTTTTAAGAAATGCTCTCGGCTGGAGCGCCTTCAGCTTTATTGCCGGCAGTTAGTAACCGCCATTCCTCCGTCAATCGGCGGCCTTGTTTCACTCAAGAGCTTGCACATCAACGGCGGCTCTCACCTTCCAGACGCGGTCACCTCGTTACAGTCACTCGAGCATCTCGTGCTTGAAATGTACGGCCTGGATGAGCTGCCTCAGTATTTCGGCAATCTGAGGCTGCTAAAATCGCTCCATCTGAACGGCTGCATGCGTCTCAGATTTATTCCCGATTCTTTTGGGCAGCTCACCAACTTGACTCATCTTTCCATCGGCAGCTCGAGAACTCTTCAGCTGCCCGAAACCATCTCCGACCTTTCCTCGCTGTTGACCTTCGAAATTTTATGCTGCGATTACCTTTCACCGGTGCCTGAGAGTATCAGAGACCTGCCAACGCTTGAAACCCTTCGACTGGAAGCGGTGGGGGGTATCACAAATCTGCCCGGGAGTCTTGGAAACCTGCTGCGGTTGCGCCTCCTCTCTGTGATCGGCTGCTGCGATATAATCTCCTTGCCTGACTCCCTCTCGCATCTTCCATCCCTCACGGACCTCATCCTGCTCGACGTGACAATCGATCGTCTACCTCACGGCGTCGGTCGATTGCCATGCCTACACACACTCAACCTTGATGTTGGCGATCTCTTTCTCCTTCCGCCCTCTGTATACCTTGCCACCGTACTCAAACACCTCTCGCTTGAGTACTCCTCAGCCCCACAATCTCTGCCCGAGGAGTTCATTCACTCATTTCAACAGAAACACCAGTACCCCCAGTACCTCCAGCTCTTGCGTCTCCAGCAGTAGAGCCACCAGCTCTTGCAGCTCCACTCCAAAGGCGAGTGCGCCGAGCAAACCACTCGCGCAGCTGCTGCGGGGAGAGAGGCTCCGGCCGGGGAGACAGCCGTGGCGAGACACCCGCAGGACCTCCAAAAGAAGCAGTACATCTAGGCTCAGCACCCCCAGACTCAGCACCCTCAGGCTCCGCACCCTTAGGCTCAGCACCCCCAGACTCCGCACCCTCAGGATCAGCACCCCTAGGCTCAGCACCCCTAGGCTCAGCACCCCCAGGCTCAGCACCCCCAGGCTCAGCACCCCCAGGCTCCACACCCCCAGGCTCATAACCCCCAGTCTCAGCACCCCCAGGCTCAGCACCCCCAGACGCAACACCTCTAGCAGCACCTGAGTCTACAGCTTCCTCACCAGGCACAGTACCAGGGGGTGGGTCTACCTGAGAGACACCTGAGGGAGCAGGACCCTGAGGGGGGAGGGGGTCTACCGGAGGGGGACCTGGAGCAAGGAAGAGCGGCGGGGGAGGGAGAGGGGTAGAGCGGTAGGGGAAGAGACGGTAAAAGGGAACCGACTCGTCAAACGTGACGTCCTGAGAGGGGATGACACGGCGCGAGGTAGGGTGGTAAAACTGCCAGCCAAGCGTGTCAGGGACAAAGCCAAGAAAGACGCAGGGAATAGCGCGGGCGAAGAGCTTGTCCGCGGACGTATCGCGGACAAAGGCACGAGAACCCTAGGCCCGGAACACCGACGCATCGCTAACCTTCCCCGTCCAACGCAGTGTGGGCGAGGTCTCTGGCAAGGAGACACGGGGCCAAAGGTTGAGCTGATACGTGGCATAGCGGACCGCAAACGGCCACAGAAAATGGGGAGCAACCGCATGGACCATGGAGGTACGAGCGACCTCCATGACCAAGCTAATGCGGCGCTCAGCAATCCCATTTTGCTGAGGGGAGGCCGGAAGCGTGAACGACTGGAGAATGCCCTCCCCATGACAAAAGACCCGCAAGAGGTTGGAGGAGAACTCACCACCTCAATCAGAGTGCAGACGCAGGATAGGAAGGTCCTGGCCGAACCGCTCGCGGAGCTGGAGACGGACTGCACGGATCCAAGGGATCAAGACATCAACGACCTCACCCTGGCTGCGCAAGGGGAAGACCGTGGTGTAACGCGTGTAGTCGTCAACAACCAGCAGAAAGTAGCGCTCGCGGCCCTGTCCAGTGACGGCGGCTGGGCCCCGCACGTTTATGTGGAGAGTCTGCAGGGGAGCAGTCGTCGGGGGAAACGAGGAGGATTGAGGAGCGGCGCGCTGCCGCCCCTTGACACAAGGAAGGCAGGGCGGAGCAGGCGAGGGCGGGAGGGGAGACAGAGACCTGGGGAGACCAGACGCAAGGAGGCGGGAGTGCATGCCACGAAGGCGTGGCAGAGAGGGGTGACCAAGGCGGTGGTGGCACAGAAGAGTCTAGTGCGACAGAAGGCGACACGAGCAAGGGGGTGCTACCTGACACAACACTGACACCTGGGCAGACGCAGCTACCTGAGGAGGCTCGGTAGCCAGTGTGTACAGACTCGACCCTGGCCGAGGAGTGAACGTGGCCAGGTGACGGCCCATCCGCGTACACGTGCAGATCGACACACGCTGACCTCCGGGAGTGGTGGTAGTGACCATCGCATCCTGGAGGGCACCTGTACTCACCAAGTTCGTAGAGAACAAGGGGAGGTGAAGACCGGGCAGTGAGCCGGACGGAACCGCCAGACACGGGAGAACAGTGGAGGAACGGGCAATGACTGGGCCCCCGGAGGGGTCAGCCAGTCGGACCGGTACAGAGAGAGGAATGAGGGAGGTGCTGTTGTGAAAGAAACAGCGTGAGGCACCTGAGTCCAGCGTGAAGGTGTGCAAGGCCTCAGCAGGCGCGAGGGAGAACAGACTCACTAGCACCTAGAGCAGCAGCCTCTATACCTAGGTCAGGCGGCACACACAAGTAACAGACACCCTCAGCAATAGTAGACAAAGCATACATAGAAGCAAGGATAACATCAAAGTCTAGGTCAAAGATAGCAACTCCAGACCTGAGCGGGTCTGCCCAGCGGGGGCGCTCGGCCTCGTCACCAAACTCAGTACGCCAAGTGTCGTCGAGGCGGGAGAAGCAGCGGTGTTGAGTGTGAAGCTTCCCGCATGTCTGACCAGCACGGTCACCTGTGCGAATGACATACGGGCAGCTACCACTACCCCCAGACGCCCCACGCTGAGACTACCACTCACGAAGCTGCTGGGGCGACGGGGTCTCGCTCCGACACTGCTGCTGCTGCCTCTGGCCTCCTCCAGAACTTCCACCGCGAGCTCCAGTCCGACCGCCCCCAATCCCACCACTGCCACTACCGCCACTCCCACCGCTGCCTCCACCGCCGCCACCAAATCTCCCACTCCCGCCACCATTCCCACTGCTGCCACCACCACCACTGCCTCCACCACCTCCACCGCTGCCCCCACCACCACCCCCGCTGCCACCTCCATCACTCCTGCCACCCTTGCCCTTGTCGATGCGGCGCTTCTCACTAGTAGAAGCAGTCCCAACATCCTCAGTACCAGGGACGTTGACAGCAGCAGCAGAGGCGTAGGAGGGGGCAAGGGGGGAGGGGGAGCACCCCTCAAAGAAGGGTGTGCGCGGAGTGCCACGAGCAGCACCTACAGCGAATACATTAGTCTCAGCTGCAAGGAGGTGCTGCTCGAGGATGTCAATAGTGAGGGTCGTGGGGTCGAGGGAGAGAAAGTGGTCCCTGACAGAGCGAAGAGAGTTTGGGAGGCGGGTGACTATAAAGTAGAGAGTGATGAACATCGGGGGCTGGTTCTTGTCAAGGAACTCAGATG